ATCTTTTGACAATACGTTGTAACTTAATTAGTTCAGGCGTAATCGTGTGTTTATAGCATCTGACAGGGTGTTGTCAGATACATACAATGAAATTAAATCGGTCGTGCAACATACACCTATTTATGATTGCTCAGCACATGTACAGGTGTACATTAGGAATATTGATATTCGTACTGTGTCTGATAAGGGCAAGATTATAAAATAATAAAACATTTTTTGAACAGGGAAACTCACTACTTCAAACCAAATTGCTCAACAGTAGTTTGTGCACCGTTGTCGACCTATATACCGTAACTATTAGGCCTATATAGTGTCTCGAAACAGTGTTATCGTTATGTTTAGCTTATAATTTTCTATACGAGTACAGATAATATTTCGCATGGATATTGTCATTTACAGCTCCATGGTCACATTGAATAAAACTGTTACAGGTTTTTGAAGCTTCTTTTTAGAAAACGGGGAATTAAACATAAATAACAAATTATAGTTTGTGTATTATATAATATTGGTTTAAATCCATGCAAGGCGTTGTAATTCGTTATACGGTACGGTATCCCCTACAGCAAGCATCAATGGTTCATTTTTCTATGGCTCAAAGTTGCCTGAATTGTTTTTTCGCGTTTGTCACAAGATATATACCGTATTGAAGTGATAACTAGCTATTGACATTCATGAAAATCTCACGTTCTCCTAATTCAACTAACAATTTACCTGGATTTTCATGGGAAGTCCTCAATATACAAGTAGATTAGCGCGTCCCCTGCGCGTTTCATCATTTGACCAATAGCTGATTAGAATCAACAGCCGTTTGATCAAAGGCAAATATGCCGCGCATTAGGCTGGTTGAAGAACCTAACTATAATTATTATAAATATACTTCGGTATTACGCATGTAATAATATATAATTAATGGGCCTAATTATAACTAGTCCGATTTTAATTTAGTACTAAACTAGAAAAAATTAACAGAATTATTTATTAATTTATTGATGTATATTTTATATATATATATATATATATATATATATATATATATATATATAGTCATGTCATATGGTTCTATAACAATGGTTATTTTTAATGAGTACGGTAAATTGAAAGGATATATAAAAGTGAAATTGCGATTACAGATCCAAAATTCATAAAACAAAAATCATAATTAGTTTTATTCATTCTTCATTAACACCATAATGTTATTATAAGTCTTTCGTATAAGGTTTTTATTCATGTTGATAAATCATAATTGTATTAAAAGTTTCAATTATATAAATAATATAACGTTTACACAACATTTTTGATAATATTTAATACTAAACTACCGGTATATAGTGATTAATTTGTGACTTTCTAATGTGTTTAGTGATATATATTGTGGTCATTTCGAGTGAACCGTGATCAAGAGAAAATCAACTAAGAACAGTGAGTTAATATGAGCAACCAATGAAGTGATCAAACTTTACACAAGAGAATTATTAAATCCACCATGCAGAACCGTGGTGAGTTTCATCGGCGCCATGCCTACGTGTAGGCCTAATGAAACGCAGTCCTAGCCTAACAAAACGTGGGTTTTTAGCTTAGAATATCCGTGGTTTGAGTAACATCAGTTGCAGTATTGACTTCCTTTAAAGAATCATTCAAACACATTCTATATCGTTTATTTGCCTGTGATTGATTGACTGACTGAATGAATGGTCATATGCCTATATCATTTAGTGTAAAATTCGTTCGTTTCACTCTGTACTTTACGAAAATATAACCGAAACGCCAAAACGTAGGATTGAATCAATAGAAGTATGAGGGCGTTCGTTGATACGAATAAGTTGATAGTATCCCTAATTGATTTCAAACGCCAGGTAACATTTGAGAAAAGTTTAAATATCAGAAAATTTTAAATAGCCTATAAAGAAGGTAAACACGACAAAGAATCAAATTTAAATTGATATGTGTTTGGAGAGCAGAGAAACGTTTATAGACGCATAATAAATTAGACAGTGCCGCATTCTTAGACCCCAATTCAAGATGCTGCTGTATTTTGGGTCGCGATATAACGATATATGATTACCGCTTTCGGTTTATAGTTTGTAAGGGGGAAACACGTTTTAAAGGCTCATCATAACGAAGTACAGTACCCTCCGGTTCAGTCCCATTTTGAGAGTAAATCAGAAAATTAAAGATTATGCCTCTACTAGTTTTGCGATAAGTTTATGTCGACATTGTTAACGGTAGTTATGTACTGTCCTAAAGTTGCGGCACAATTTACCACACATACCACATTGTAAAGACATGACGATTAGGCATACATACATTGTGGGTTTCCATATATCTACAGAAATGTTTGTGCCTATACGGACACGATTTCCGGAACGATTTTTTGTTCGTAATTGCCATTGTCATTATACCGACAAAAACCAATTCACCTGAAACTGTGGTGTACAATCCTAAAATATTTCATACCTACCCCAGTGTAAATTAAATCAACACAATGTTTAGAACAGTTTGGTTACACCTGGACGCATTGTTCTATCTTTAATGTCACTGTAAACAACTAAAGTTGACAAAGGTGGTAGGCCTGCACTTTCCGGAGGATAAACATAATACCGGTACTCATATGTAAGTGCAATTATTGAGAATTTTAAGAATTATCAAAATTAATTAATTTATATTAAAATGCTAAGTGTTACTATTATTTCCCTACTTTTGCTTCTAATGTTGCTACTATGAAGGATACAGTACACTGTAACAACTAACTAGGCCTGCTGCTGCTACCACTGTATAAGGCCTTCTGTATACAGCAGTCTACAGTCCTGTTTTGTAGCATCAGACACTTTATAGACCTACTAGTATCCGATTGATTGTCATATATACGATTCTTGATACAGGCCTAGGCGTATGGTAATAAATAGCAAAAGGCCTACCATTGGTTTGCTATTAATTAATTTCATTCAAAAAAAGTGCGTTTACGTCGCGGCCTTATTTTCACCGTTATACACGAAAATCGTATTGTCGAGATCTAAATCGACTTGGCTCCACATAGTATTAACTTGTGAATAGACTTGATAAGAACAAGAATTCAAATATATAGGACGCAAGGAATCGTAACATCGAGCCTTATTCTTAGTACCTCCTATACTACTCATTGTACATTTCGACAGTACCGTAAATTATAGAAATCACGTCTCCCGAATAACCACTTGTGGTCTTTAAATAGCCTGAAAATCGCAATAATGCACTTTCTATGATTTTAACCCGGGGCTTAATTAGGACCTGTAAACCGCTTAACTCATTTGTATAACCTAACTTGGTAGTTTGTGGTAGTCACTGTCACTGTTACAACTGCCACTTACATCCGATATTCAACAGCTTGTACCCTGGCTATCAGCCCGTTATTTACCTTCATTTGCATTATGTTTGTTTTTTAAAGCTACGGTACACGGTTAGCCTGTGGACTTACTGCCTCAAAAAAATTTTGTGGGCCTATACACGGAAACTGCTCGTAAAAAAACGAAGCAGTACATTTTACTTTAACCAATAATACCCAGTCGTCACACGTTTGCTCCACTGATAATCTTAACTTTTACTGCTCAGGGATAATCTTTAAGATTAGTTTCAAAAAGTAGACTATCATGACGTCATAGCCTCATAAACCTGAGAATATGTGGGTCATCAGTTTCAGATGATATGAAGATTGCAACTGGACTGTTATCCATGAACGAATATACTGAAAAAAGACTGGAATCCGAGAGAACATCTTTGTCTCGGCTCTGTATCGAACATCTATATAGTGTGCCAGAACCCGCTGATGGCGATATATAATATCATTTATGGTTATGTTAATTAATCTTGACTGTGAACCATCAGTCGATATTCTAAGTACACGCATTAGGAATTTAGGGTCGTCATACGAGGCAAGGATACCGTAGATATACAGTAACAGACGCTTCTCGATAAAAGTTACATCGTAACTAATGCCGTAGCCAGGATTTTCAAACAGTGCGGGACAATATCAGGGTGGACCCACTTTACTCGTAAATTCAAACAATGTGGACCCATTTTACGCAAAAATATGAAAAAAATCTGGACCCTTTTTCTTAAATTTTACTCATTTGAAGCTAAATATGAGAAATCTGGACCCATTTTTCAGAAAGTGGACCCATTATATGCTTAAAATTACATAATTTGGACCCATTTTGAAAAATGTGGACCCCTTCTTTGTGGACCCATTAGAAAAGTTGTGTGGGACTGTCACAACTGTCCCAATAGCTGGCTACGGCATTGATCGTAACCTGATGTACAGATGTACATTACAAATATCTTAGGCTTAATAGCATGTACTTATTTTAAGCATTATACCTCTGTTTGCCTAAACATATTTTACTATTCTACTAATAACCTAATTGTTTAAATTCTTTCAAAAGGATTAAATAAAATAGCCTATTAAAACCTTACGCAACCAAAATAACAATTATGAAAAGTTCCAACTATAATGTGATATAGTAAATGAAATGAGCACTAAATGAATAGGCCTACCGCAAAAAAATTGCACTAACATAGAGTGCATTTAACTTTAATACATTAGGTCTAATTATACGTTACAAATAGAAAGAATAGGAATATCGTCACAATTATTACTAAAAGAAATCGTAAGGTTAACACTTTCAATTGTCGCCATCTTCAATAAGAGAAGGCGACGCGTTCCAATGAAAGGCGTTACATAATTTCATTACATTTTCACAATAACACCTGTCCACTTTGTCGTCCAAAAATGTAAAATGTAGGCCTATTATAGTTCTGTATATTGCAAATTAATTAAAATCTATTAATTATATGCTATGAGGTTGTGAATGTATTATATAGGCCCATAGTATTTTTTTTTTAATAAAAAAATTGCCGGGCCCAAAGAACGGTAAACGAATGTAACAGAAGAATTTGTATAGAACCATTTCCGAATTATAATTGTAAACAGTAAATATATTCTAAAAAAATTAACAAATCGAATTTACCTTCCAGCTTTTGTGACAATCATTTCCGTTCCTAGTGAATGAAACTCGTCCCACAAAGCCTTCATCTCAAGCTTTGCCTCTACATTGCAAACTTTAACACTCATCGGCTTCTCGTCTAGTTTCCTTTTTCTAGCGCTAGGAGAGGCCATGCTGGTTTCGCCGTCATCGTCGCAATCGCTCCGTGTTTTGATCGAATTCGGCGAATCCACTCCGTCATTCTCATCGTGTACTAGCCGTGGGCTAGATTCACTGGTGTTGCAGCCTTCATCCATACTGCGTGCTTTTTGTGTATCTATAAAATAATTATTCATATTTTAGATATTAAATATATTTTTAGAAATAATACACATACGGTACTACGTCCCATGTGAATGTGATAAGTAACACAACGCTGACAATACAAGTTTTATACTAAACATGAATCCCTCCCTTCCAAAGAAATTCTGATAGTTTTTTAATTAGTTAAGATATGATTTATTAACCAATGATTTATCCCTGATTGATACTAGTTAATCTGGCAGTTGGGCTAAAAAGATTATAACCCAATATTCAGTGAAGCTTTTTCTACTCGATTCAAATGGATATTTCATTACAGAAAATTATATTGTTTGGTAATGGACAAAAATAATTCCTTCTTGATTTTTCTGAGCTGCATAAAATTGATCTCCACATTTTCTTCAAGATGTCATTATAAAAACAATTGAATTCTCTGAAGTTCATTCATTTTTTGCGAATGTCAGTACAATGGAAATGTATACAAACCGAAGCAAGGCCTGATTATTTTTAATGTTTACAAGGATTTGATTGAGTTCCAGTGTCCCAACTCCATGGTTGTGGTTCCAATCGCTAACGCATGTGTCTCATATACTTAATAATGTTTACTTCCATATTGAGAATAGGCCTACTAATACTTACCGTACGGTATTAACCGTATTGAACAATAAACTGTGATGGTCACCCATATATTTATATATTTTGGTATATATTTATTTGGTATAACATCGTTTCCTGTGATTACATAAATCGTATAATGATTTAATAAAAATGTGTGAGATAAGGAAAACAGACTCATATTATTATAATATGCCTTCATTGGTAATCAGGGACTGATTGTTTAAATAAAGACGTTAAAAGTTACATTGAGTGTTTGTTATGACTGCATTAATTATTATACTTCTGATTCTATTTATATATTAGACGTGTGTCCATCATTAATTCGTTTTAGATTTTGGAATATCTATGATCTACGCTAATTAAAATAGTTAATTAAACGTTACGCCTCTAAAATGTAAAATATGCCCAATCAAAATAACACGCTCATTACTTTTAGATGAATCTTTATAGGACCAAACATAATATTGTGATAATCAAGCATGTATGCCTACTAATTAGTAATAGGCATATAATAACCCATTCGATATTATCTGTGAATCTTAGTGATGACTTTTATCACGATGTAAATTGTTAGCGAGTGGAAACTGATTAAAGCCTCATTTAGACCGAATATTCCGGTCGGAAGACCTCCGAATAGGGACGCCGGCGTTCATCGCATCGGAAACGCGGTCGTAATTTTGGTTCGGACCCGATGTAAATGCAGTTTAACGAGTGGAAACTGATTATATTACGAGTGGAAACTGTGCACATTGTCAATATTGCTTCTTTAAGCATGGTACCGGATCGTTAATATTTAGTTATTTACGCTAAATTAAATCTCAATTGGTTTCTGTTAAGAAATTGGATTATTTGAGTCATTTGACAAACTAAGCAGCAGGGATTAGAGGAGGATCTGTGAGTAAAGGCTTTTCGACCGGATCAACAAGATCACACCATATCTAATCACACAATCCAGACACATTACGAATCGTTGAGCACAAATTCGATTTAGAGCAGTCTCTGTTGTATAGAATAACATAAGTAGATGATATTCAGACGAGATTTTTTATATAAAAAACGCTCGCTTTAAAAAAAAACATTTCCCACCGTTTAGGTTGAGAAACGATTTATTTAGTGTGTATGCCTGGAAATAAAGAGATGCAATGTTGCGTCGGGCGTGAATCACTTTGAAGATTAAATCATTAATATATATTAAATATTGATAATTATTATTATCCCTCAACGGGCTGACAAATCGGACTATATTTCCTGATGTCACCATAGGAGAGTAAAAGGCAGTTTTAAATAATGTATCATCCGCCTTTAACAGCACACCGACTAAATAGCGCCAGCAGTGAATAACACTATTTATACCACCAGCAGTGGATAGTACCATTATACCACTCAATATCACAATCATAGCACCAACAGGCAATATCGCCATAACACACAATCACCCTCGCTATGGCACTCACACTTGCTATTAGCAACGCTCAATAGTATTGAGTCACCAATGATATCGATACCAACCCCTCCCCGATAGATAGCACCGACGACACACAAAACAATCGGTAGCACCATGGTACTAATAATCGATAGCAAAAATACTGGATACCGTTACACCCGCTCTCGATGCCTCCCAAACTCGTTAGTGCCAGCACTAGATATCACATTACCCTTTCAACTATGATGACGATCAATCGTAATGCTTATCCCATATCAGACAGCTGAAACAAAACATTAAGATGAGGTAGTGTTGATTCCAATACCACAACATAGCTTCCAAGTAGACCGAGTTTCCGTAAGCTATAATTATTTTATGGCAATATTGTTCCCACTACAAATACCGAAATAAACTATGAAATACTATTTGGTACTTTAATTATTTACTTTGTATACTTTTCTCTGCCAATTATGAGAGACATATCAAATCGTTCTATCTTTACATGATAAGACCAATAAATCGACCAAAACCAATAGTATATTTTTAGAAAAAAAATCTGTAAATTAGCGATATCGGAATCGTTTTTGGTTGTAATTTTCTTTGGACGTTGGTAACTTACTTGATTCTAAGAAATTCATTATTCTGATGAGTTTTTAAAAGGTTTTTGAAAGTGTTCCGCTGGCGGTTTCGTATTATTATTCAAGGTGTTATAACAGACGTATTTTTATAAAAGAGGAGTGTTGGTTATGTATCAAATAAAATTGCAATAAATGAAATTACAACTTTCAATAAATTTCCTCTCTAGATTGCAGAAAAAATACATTTTAAATTTATGATTGAACTATTTTTACTTAAAATATATCTATAGACAATTGGATTGATAGGCATAGGCTAGCTTATTGCACCTTAGATTAATTGTATTACTGCATTTCTGATACACAAATGCTTAGCCTAAAGTAAAAAAGAAGGATGTTTTAGAAATATACTTCGATACTTGACAGTAAGAATAATAATCATTCAACATAAAAATACAAAAATATTATTAAGAAATTAATCAATCCATTAATCAATCAGTTTATCAATCTATTAACAAATCATTCACTCAATTATTCAATCGTTAAACTGTTTATGAAACTATTATAACCGTTGTAATTCATCATCAAAATTTTAGTTAGTAAATAAGCCTATAGAAATTAGTTTTAAATTGCAATACCTCATCATTAATTTAGTTTAGTATTTATTAATTATGTAATCAGAATTAATTATTAAATGAATCAAAGATTTATGTTGCACTGAATGCTTTATATATATATATCATATTATATATATATATATATATATATATATATATATAGAATGAGTATAACAGATCTGAATGCGGTTATTAAAATTGTAGACCTACAATTTTAGTTAATATCAAATTATTATTATCGTTTTTTATTATTATTACAAGGATTAACTTCTAGATCATTTACAGTATTTATTTATTTATTTTATTTCACTCCTTCTAGGCTATACAATAATACATAGGAAAGGCGACAAAGAAAACAATCAACTCGTCCTTCTACTGGGTTTGCCAACTCTATCAATAGAGACAATACAAGTGACTCAGAATAGTAAGGGTTAATAAATAATAAATAAATATTTTTGTTTAAGAAATATGTTTATATAGGGACTGATATAAGTGATATTTTTAGGCCTTATTATAAATAGTACCGGTATTAGAGCATGAATTAAAACATTATTAGGCTTTTATTGAAAATTCAGTCTCGACTCAATACGTTGCTGACAGGTCTTGGAAAAATAAATTGATTAGAGTAATGGTCTATACCCTTTTAGCCACATAGAGTGTGAATAACCTAAAGCCCGAACTACCGGCAACTTAAATTGGCTTATTATATCGTCAAACATATCTTCTAATACACATCAGATTGAAAATAATATGTGTGTTCAAAAATATGTATATATCGGCTAGTAGGTGTACTTAATAATTTATATATAATATTGGCTAATACTGTTATTCAAAATTCTCAATTAAAACGTGTCATCAATTTTGAGGAAACTCCATGAAAGTGCTCAATTGGGAATATCGTTACTAAAACAAACTTAATATGATTTACACATTGGGAAATGCAATGCGATATGATGGGAGTTGTGGCTAGAGTCCGTAACACTTAACAAGCCAACAACATTATATTGACCATATGACGCGATATTAATCGTTCCATTTACAAGGAACTGGCGCATGTCAATATTTTAAGCATTTTTGAACGAGTAATGATTGTGTTTAATGAGGGATTGTTAATTACCTAATCATTAGTTATCATTATTGGTTGTTTAGTATAGACACATTTTTATAATGCATACAATATAATTTTGTCTATGTCTATAACAACAAGTACAGTTATTTCCTTCACTACTAATTACACCCAGAATACGCTAGGCAGAATGTAACTCAGGTAGACTCCGCCCTCTTAAGTGCTATAACGTCAACAATTCTTTTTTTCAACACGATATTTCCATTTCCATTAAATTATTAATAGATTATATTCTAAAATCAGTACTAATCATGTAGTCGATTTTTTTTTAGTATAGACCTATTATACCGTACCGATTTAAAACTGAAGCTTATTCTTTGGTAAGCATTTTTAATACTATTAACACGATATTTTGGACATATATATAGGCCTATTTTATTTTGAAAGGCCTAATTACATTTTATCCGGTTATGTATTTTATTCTAAAAACATCCTGTTGAACATTCGCCGTAAAGGATAAATATCTATATGCTTATATTTTTCTCGAAGACTGTAGGCCCTTATGCTGCAGCTGGATGTTCATACGCAAGTCGAGTTCGCCAGCCCGACGTTTAGTTCCTGCATCGATGACTACTCATACTCCTCTGTCATTTAACTCCATCATCAAGCCAGCGGTAATCATAAAATGCAGCTGATTGCCAATATTGAAGCCTATCCTGGGATAGGCTAGGTACAATTTGAGAGATACATCATCAGGGAAAAACTCGTTTTTTTAGGTTTACTCGATTGCTTACTAATGGGTTATCTAGTAAGCAACAAGGGCACTGGGCAGCCTATGATACAGCTCCTACTGGTCCAAGCCTAGGGTATGTTTTCTACTTGGAACATTAAAATGTGAGACTATCGTTGAGTATTCAGACTTAAATTAGTACACGCACGTCTAAATTCGTGCGACACCTCAACGTCAACTTTGTCAAAATAAACACTATGTGGAATAACAACCGCCGTCAATGGATGGGTTTGGGGAAGAAAAAAAAACGATTACTTAAATTCGAGCAACGAACAAACTGACAGGCTGACCATTATAAGGTTTGAGAGGAAACAAAATGAACCTACGCACCAATATCTTCAAAATTACTCGGAGGTATCAGCACAAAATCGATAGTCTACACGCGGCCACAGCTAGCTTTATACTCACTTGAGTTTTTTAAATACTAACCTGCTACCGAATAAAACCCATTAACAAAACAGAAACACATCTGTTGTCGATAAGCACTAGATACACGTATCTGTAATTACCAAAATACACACATTTGTATGGGAATGACATTATTTTACCGTTGCACTGAACTAACAATGTAGCCTACCTTAACACTGTATAGAAGCATGTAATTTAATAATTATAATAATATTATTAATAATAATAGAAAATTGAAAACATATAGACAGTATTCAGGTATAATATAATGAAAATAATAATATTAATAATATAATTCGTGATTATGCATGGTCTTTTTTTTCTGACTAAATGCTTTATTTTGTCCTCTTTGAAATGGAATTGTGTAAGTATGACATATTAAAGGCCAGTATTGTATTGTATTGTATTGTATCGTATCGTATTGTATTAATACAATTATTTATTTTATTTATTCATTTAATATTTATTTAAATTGTATTACCCACATATCTAATTTAGAAGGAAACCCGACGGACAATTAGTAAAAATCATTGTTGTTTTTTTTTCGATACCAAATAGTAAGATCTTAAACAATTACTCGCTTAGAAGGCCCATTAGTATTAGTAGACAACACGTGGACACTTTTTCTTCTTCCAACAAAAACCATATCATCACTTAGGCCTAGGCCTCTATAATCTCAAACCATGTGTATTATTATTATACTCTAGTATACAATCAAATTAATTTTTATAGACTTCAGAAAACTTGTCGCTTACATAAATTTCTCATAAATTTGGCTATTTAAAAGTCCATCACTTTATTATATTATGTCTATTATTTCTGTTATTACCCTTGATGTTTGCTATATTTTACTGCAGTTTTTATTATACTTACACGACTCCAATAAATAGAAGACTTTTTTTATGAGGTTTCAAACAATTTAGTGACGTTTCCCTAGGGTGGTTACCATAATAAACATTAGAAGAAGTAGTAGATAGACGGCAATCATGATCGGAAGTGACAGTTTCACGTCTGAATAACAGTGGGTCTATACATCATTCAGACCTCCATACAGTAGTAAAGATGTATGGACTTTGTTTCAACGCTCGATTAAGACCGCCTCCGTATTCATAATCGGTATTGTACCTTACCCTAATCCGTTATGCATATAGGCCTATAGCATTTATACCCTAGGCCCAACTGATTCGAATTCATCATTAGGCGCTTAGAGAAGTTACCATGGCTTCGAAGACACCATAGCCTACTCGAATCAATTATTGATATGCCTATGAACTATTGTGTTAGACGTTCAAGTGATAATTGTACTTCTGTGTTGCTAACATTGATAAGCTAAGTTAGTCCCAAAGCTAGCACAAACAGTCTGGAAAGCATTTATGTAATGCGTACTTAGATGTTATATTTATCGTCGAGGACGTAACGTCGACTGGGCATATTTCATCGACCTTTCCTAGTGTCTTAAACAATCTAGTCAGTAATATGTAGCAGCTAGTTTGTTTTTACTGATAAAAAGTTTTTGGGGCTAAAAGTAAAAATATATTAATAACATCAATCAAGGTTTCATCTGTCATGCTAAATTATAAATTTATTTAAAAAAATATATACTTCGATTGATGTTCGTAGTCCTACATACATTTTAAATAGTTTACTTAAATTTCTGAAATCATTGAGGTACCAAGAAATGACCACCTATATATGTACGCCACTGATATATCACTGTATATACACAGGCCTAATTATGGTTCAGTGTGTATCACATGCCTATAGCAGGTGTAAGTTAAGAATAATAAATTAATAAATAAGTAAATATAAAAGTATATATATGCATACACAGAAGTATATCATATATATATACATATATATCACATACCGGTAGTCAATAAATTGATTCTTAGTAAACAAACCTGCTGAATCCATATCTTGAAAGTCTGATGTGTATCGTAAGGTCCAGTCGGGGGTGTTATCACATCGGCTGTTGTCGGACTCTGAATCTTTCCTGTCAGTTTTGTTCGAGCCCATGATTAGTGAATCGTCAGATTCTCGCTGATCGTCATCAGGGGATATTAATGATGCAATGCTGAAGGCGTTTGCCCGCGGAGACAGAGGGTTCTGATCCGTTTGACTAACAACATCCATGCCTCTCCGAGGCAGCCTAAGAAGGAGTGGAGACCGAATAAACGGTATTTACGCGGGGACAATAAGCTCTCACTTCTTGCATAAACAGAATAAATAATGTTTTTCTAAAATAACGGTACACTCCTTTTTAAATATAAATACGTAACCACGGGAACTGATGGTAATCAAATCAATTATCTTCTATTTAAAGTTGTTTAAAACTTCGTAGTATATGCTTATCTCACTGTAACTGTCAAAAACTCAAATGAATTTAGTATTGTTGGATAGATAACGCCGGTAAGGTGCGTGGAACTTTCGAAGATGTCCTCAAAGAAAAAAACATGAAGTTCCAATACAGAAGTCGCAACTGCTTTTCTGCATGGATGTGTTGGGTCTAATAAAAACAAACCACCATTCCCTCGAAACACACACAGGCTTCAAACTGTAGGAAGGGGGCTGGACATTTAGTGGCTCATTAATTCCACAATACTTCAAGCAATCATTGGCCGATTAAATTCCACGTCATTGTGTGGCGGTGACCTGTTCAATACAATTATCATGTCACTTTACTCGCTTTGCAATTGAACAGAAAATTCGACAAATGCATTAAAGTTTTTAATTCAACGAATATTGGCTGTCGATAAAGAGTGGTGAACAAGCTAACATTAGTAACAAATTAGAATGTATCATCTTCCGTCTAAAGCCGCCGAGTGGGCTGGCTTAAGCTTCACGGTACATCACGTTCGTGGATTTCCGCTCAAGCACATAAGTTTATCAGCATTTTGCTGAAGCTACCAAACCATACGGAACCAAATAAATCTACATACTGCCCCCAGCGGTAATAAAGTTAATTTTCTCCCACTTGGTGGCCAATTATACCACTCTGTAAACTGTACATGAAATTTTTACTGGTAGCAACAATAAGTGTATGCCAACACCAGCTCACATGAAATTCTCATTAAAATGCAAGATTGTGCGGTATCATGTAATTCCCGAAACACAATCGAAGTTGGTGACATCACATCCACATATAAATGTTCCGACTACCTTGGAACTGACACCATCTTCGCACGCAATCCCGCAATTCCAGCTACAGCTGAGACATTCTGTTAATTACAACCTGCACACTTTCTCTTACGTCATTGCTTCAACTTCTAAAAGGGTTAGTAGCTTTCGACGAAAATATATATCTCTCAACAAATAATTGTAAAAGTATGAAAGCATATTCGTATTGTTCTCCAAGATACTACAAGTTGTAAAATGCCTTTATAAATAAATTTTCTATTTAATTTATGTTTATTTATGTATATGCATTATCACGGATCGTGTTAAAAAGTTTTTAACATCCCTGTCGAATTAATAGAATATCCCTTATGCTAATATTGCATGTGAAGCTGCGACCCACCCTAGACATAATATTTAATTATATTGTTTCTTTACTGTGAAAAGATGTTCAGAACTATCAACACAAACCTAGTGTCTAACCTTAAGTCTAAAGAAACAGATATATAAGCAAACTTACCCCATATACGACTTAATTAATCAGTAATAAAAACCATTTCGCCTAACATTTTAATTTAGTTAGGAAGATAAACTCGATCGTCTCAGACAGAATGGGACAGGGTTGTTAGTAGCAGCAAAAAGTAAATGCAAGAACATCGTAGTTTTATACAAATGCTGGCGGTAAGAAGTTGTCATATGTTTTTTAACTGTTTATGTTCTTGATCCAACCTTATTAAATTGATTTTTGGAGTTGAAAATATTTGATTTCTTTTTTTATTAAAAAGAAGTAACTAAGTGTGCATAATCATTTTTAAATTTTGGAGAAAGTTTGATGGTCGGCGTATTTGTTAAGATCAAGATATACTGTGTCTTTTATGTTACATCTGATGCATAAATAAAATATGTTTTTGATTATAATTTTTGTCATGTCCTACATTTATCTTTTAAAAATATTAAAGTAGTATTTACATTATGATTTTGTTCGACGTGAATGTCCCATTCCTCCTAAATTAATCACACCCGCCAGACATTATACCGTACCCATTTCTTTGCAATACTATAATACTGTATACTAATATCTTACAACTGAATATAGGTTGCGTATTATTACTTGATTGGCCGTATTCTTAATATATCTATAAGATGTGTATAAGAGACAGCCACCACTTCTTCTACCGCAAATAATGAGTAGGACGTGGAAAGCAGTTGTCGTTGTTATAATGACAGTTTGTATTACCGGTATCTATGTTTTATGGTTCCTCTCAAGTTTATTGGTTTTGCGTAGGCCTACTTGTAACAACAGGTTGTGTATTTTCTATTCACACAATTTCTATAAAGTATAAATACCAATTATGCTAATATTCGTTAAGAGCTACGGTATGTTACTGTCTTGTAATGTTTGGTACTGTACTTAGTGTATAACCAAGGATACCTCTTGTCGGAATTGGTAGCGGAAGCTTAATATATTGTATGGATAATTTGAGAGTGTAGACCTTTTATTATTGTTATCATTATTGTTATTTTTATTAGGCCTACTGGTATTATTAATGTTATAATTATTATTATCAATATTATTATAAATTATTATAATTATTATTCATTCTATTATTATTATTATTATTATTATTTCATTGCTGGTGGTTTCTTTATTAGTATTTAACTAAATGGAGGTAGGTAAGTAGGTTCATTGTTTTTATTTCTACATTTCATAAATTCAATTATTTTTATAAAGTATAATGCTTTGGAAGGAGAAGTCTGATTCTCTATGTTGTTTTAATCTATCAATTGTTTGACACATTCAACTTATGTTTGGTAAAAATAATAGGAAGAAAACGCGAACAAAAGCATAACTCATTTCATACTATTAGTTTACTACTACTACAAAACAGTTACTAAATCAAATATCTATCAAGGATTTAAATACGGCTAATGTATAATCTTAAGATAGACCTATGTATCAAAATATAAAAATCCATGAAACAAAACTTTAATTGGTCAGTTAAAGGATCTCGTTTAATAAATAAACTTCCAATAAGACATATTTAATCAATTTTTTGCTGATCTCTACACCCTTTTATTATGAATACTGTATGATTAAATTAATATTACCAGCCATTTTTTTTAATGTAAATAATATAGAAACAGTGAAATATGCAAGCACTCTGCATCTGCTTTAATTGACGGGGACAATAATTTCCCATTCTGATTTTAAATTTGAAGTTAACTAAGAGATTTTTGTAAATGTACTAATTTGTGCAAGTTTTTAGCTTTACATAGACGATCTATTTTTAAGTATACAGCCTCATAAAGTATTGCAAAAAAAATAGAATACCACCCATCACCCGATGCTTTTATTTAAATCAAGTGTTTAAAATTGTATTTGCACGTTCTATAACAGTTTATAGGAGAGATATTTTGAACAGACCTAACATAGCATGCTATCGAATTTTACACAATTATGTTTAAAATCCCAGAGTATTGTTGGCTACCGGTTTGTTTAAACTTAAACAACTTGCTAGTTGTTCCTGTGTTCCTCTAGAAAAGCTTAGTCCAAAGCCCCATGGGTAAGCTTTTAACAAGTTTCGCTACATTTTGCACGCCCAAACAAAAGATTCGGATCAATTTATGTTTAGTTACATATAATAGTTTTAAATATCATAAACATTGTTTTAATCATTTGCAATTATGTCGAATAAATTGATATCTAAAATGGAATCTCTACTTACTGTTAACTTCCTTCATTGTAATCAAATAGGATTAAAAAAAAAACAGAACAGTGGCGTTTATAAAAATGTCTTGGAGGAACGAAGTGCCTTCTCTGTTTGACCTGTTATACCCACAACCAAAACATTGAACGCACGGACCTATAATATGCGACCCGGTTGGATTGTGGGATTGCTCCGCCATGGCCATTTTGAAATGTCTGATCAGCCGACATCAACCGCATTATGATTTTAAATGTCAAACTGTTTTTCAGTTTGAATTTACATCTTAAAGGTAGGTCACATTAATAATTATAAAAGGAAAATCATTATAATCTGTTATTCTTTTAATTCGTTTAATAGCTCTCTACTTAAACGAACGAAATATTAAGCATACGTACAATAATTTTTATTTAATTTCTTTTAATTCGGCTGCAAAAAAATTTATTTCAATAAAGATAGTGAATATATCCTATCAAAAATTAATTGTACTAGATTACTAAAATGTTAATTTTAGTTTGTTACAGAACAAATGCATAGGACTATAATAAAAATAATCATTCATGACAAAAGATAAGTTGCGTTAAAATGTATCATTATCAAGTTAACTTAACCGTATAGTGTGTGATATTGACATAGAAAATGGTTTTATAGATTATTTATCAGTACTGCAGTACGGCTTACAGTTGACTCTGGAAAGAACATTCGCAAAAAAATGTGTATCCCAAAAGGAAGCCTTGAAGTTATGCCATGTGGAACAATGAGGGGGTTGTATGCCCGAAATAGGCCTCTTCATTGTAGTATACTGTAAATCCAAATGCCATGAGGACTATTCTTAACTCCGGGTTATGCTAGCACTATTGTATCGGTTTATATAGGCTTATTCAGGGTGGTCACAGCGCTAAGCAAAGTCATTACCCACAGCGGTATATCATTTAGTACTATACCAGTGTTAGCGCCGCAGGGAATTTACCGTTCTACCGCCTCTAGATTATTGCACTTTTTGCGTTGAACATCAAATCACTACTGTTTCTCCTCGGGGCAAATAATTACGAATTTTAAACGGAATTCAAAAATCATGATGGATTATGCTATACTTTTTTTTTTTATCACAAAATAAAGTACACAGCAATGACAACCCAAATGCATATAAACATTATCAAATATCCATAGAATTAAATTCAGATTTAGATTTGGATTATTTTTTTATTCTTCATAAAAAGTATTTTAGGAAAATTGTTTTGCTTGGCAAGACACAGTGTTAAAACGTAAGACGTAAAAAACCGTTAAGACATTAAATTATTTAAAACCGACTATATAGCATGATAGCATTAATATAAAACCCCAAGACATAATTAAACATTTAATACCACCTGTACAGCACCAACTGGGAATGATCTTGAAACAAATGGAAATCTATATATTAAATTATTTGATAATAGTGTTAAGCCAAAGCCAGCTATTATAATAAATAGTATAATCAATAACACAACATTATACCTCCATGATTATATATGGAAAGAATATATAGTATAAATGGAGATAGGTTTATATAACTTAATAGTTCGATAGTGTTAAAATAGGCCTTTACTATGTGATTCGCTAAATATTAAATAGGCTTACATTAATAGCCCATTGCATTCATATTTCCAAACATTAATAAATAAGAAAGAAAATATAGATAATTAAATATGTTAATCCGTAGTTTATAATCCCTTAAAAAAACAGATTAGCAACGATAATATGCAGAAATAGACGCTTTTTGATACCGTATTCCTTTGTAGTACACAGGCATAGGCCACGTAAACGGATGTACACTTGGGAACACACCGGTAACCAGTCGTTTATTAAAACACGGTGTTAACCTCATAATACACTACGGTAAGCCTTGTCGGACTTGTTAACACAAAGCCAAATATCGAAAAAGTAGTAATTTTCATTGTATTATTTCACCAAGTTATAAGATTAAGACAAACATTCAAGACACACATTAAAGCAATAAAGGTACTAGATGAATTCCAACAAAAAGAAATAACCTATGACAGTAATACACAGAGCGCTTTAAGAATTTCTGTTAGAAAAGTGTGTTATATGAATCCCAGAAATAATAATAATTATTATTATTA